GGGGGGCGGAGTGCCAAAGCGCCCACACACACACACACACCACGCCCAGGGCGGGCACGGTCCTCGCCCCCCGCGGGAAAAACGGAAGAGGAGAGAACCACCGGCCCCCCTGGTCGGCGCAGCGCATCCCCCCCGCCCCCGCCCCCCTCCCCGGGGGGAGGTGCGCCGGGGGCCACATCAGGTCGATCATACTGGCGGAGATCTGGGGAAGATTGCTTTTGCGATGATCGGCCCCCCCTCCCCCCCCCAGGGAGACCCACGTATGGGTATCTGGTGTGGTGCCCAACACACACGCATGCGCACAACACGCCCCCTGGGCAGGGAGGATCGCCGAAGGCGATCGGGCGGCCCCACGCCGGCAGGGGCGAAAGCCCCGGTGCACACGCAAGAGGCCCGGGCTACATCTAGAAGGTCCGCGAGAAGGGTGGAATCTCCCCGAGTGCGGCGATCCCGCCTTTCCCCCAGGGGCGTGTTTCACATGCGCCGCCCCTCCCCTTCCGCCCCTTTCCGGCCGTCGCCGGCCAGCTGACAAGCGCGACCAGGATACCGCCCCACCGCGGAAGAAAGCAAGGCGCGCCTGGCCTTTCGACCGGAAGATGCACGCCAGCGAAGAAGCCCCGCCCTTTTGAGGGGTCCGCCGCCGCTCTGGACCGGTCGAGGCCGCACACCTGAACGGGCGGCACAGGAGCGCGTAAATATGCCCTCACGCGTGTGCTCTCTCACGCAGCCGGGGGGGGGGGGGTTATGTGGGGCCGGAGAGTGAAATTCATTGACTGGGCATCTGGGCGCCGGGAGTCCTGCCCAGTTCTCCCCCTCGGACCGTGCGGATGGCCCTTCGTTGCAAGGGGGGGAGGGGGGACGCCCAGCCCCCTCCCCCCCCCCCCCGGAATCGGGACACTCCGGAGGGCCCAGATGGGGAAAAATCCTCCAAAGTGGTCTCCAAATTCGGCGAAGTGCCGCCCCTCCTCCGTGAATATCCCTCCGGTGACCGGCGCCCCCTGGGACCCCCTGCCCTCGGGGCTGGCTGCGTTCCGCGCCCCCCCCCCCCCCGTTACCTCTGCTCCTTTGGCGGCCGGGCCAGCGTGCCGGTGCACTTAACCCTGATAGGCGGGGCTCGCACGTGAATACGAGTCCGTCACGCCGAGAATGTTCGGATGTAGTGGTATCCCCCAATCTCTATAAACCAAGTCACAGGTTGAATTACAAGATCCCCACGTGAACGGCCCCGTGGGAGATTATGGCATGCTTGAATGGCATTCCTCCTCAGGAGGAATGCGGGGTAGATCGACAGCCAGATGGCCGCCGAGTACCGGGCCAGTTCGGTGGCCCAGGAAAGGAGGGAGACACGCGTGCGCGCGGGGTTCTCAGATCCACCCCACGACCAACCCAAGGTCAAAAGGGGGACTCCCTGCGGGAGCCTCCTGAGAGCGAAGACCTTAGCAGCT